ACATGACTGGGTTCACTGGTCCCCCGTGTCCAGCAAAAAGCCCAAGTGACAAATTGGCAGTCATGGCCTTCCAAGTCATGCTACACCCTCTAGTTCTCCATCTTTTTTTTAAAATAGGCTCCACGCCCAACACAGATCCCAACTCACAACACTGAGATCAAGATCCAACCTGAGATCGAGAGCTGGTGGCCCAACCAACTGAGCCACCCAGACGCCCCTAACTCTCCATCTTTTTAATTCCACTAAACCTGAGTTTTTGAAACTGGGGTCCATCTAACACCTGGATAGCCAAGTAGGCAGAAAACAGGATGAGAACTGTGCCTCTCCCTGGATCCTCGATTGTGCATAGGAGGGGTGGGGACTTTCCAAGCTCTGCCCCTCTCCTCTGGGAAGTGTTCCCTCCCACAGCACAGGTCTCCGTAGCCATGTGAAACCAGGGGTGGAAACCCCATTTTCTAGAACCAATCCAGAAGCCGAGCCAGGCCATCAACCTCTCCACCAGGAACCAGGAAGTGGGACACAAGACCAGCGTGGTTACCTTCAGACACGTGAGGTCACGGGGATATGGGGGCTGAAGCCGCCTTCTCCCCCAGACGACTATGTGATACCTTCTGGGGCCTGTGTGATGACAAGTGAGCAGATGTGCAGAAAGAAGCAGAGGTGGGGCAGCCAGAATGATGAAGCAGTTCCCTTTGTTCCTGATGACTTCCCAGCCTCAAGTGAGGCCCTGATGCGGTCTACTATTACTTAACCACGCTTCAGTCCCCTGAGGCACCTCTAATTCCCTAAAACAAGTTTCCCTTCAACATCAGCAGCTTGAGAGGGCTTATGTTTCTTGCAAACAACCTCGAAGATTACATAATTTTTATTATTTTTTGTAAAACAAATAAAGACACAATAGAGCAGAATATAGAAGTCACAAGAGTATTAGCAACAAAGTTCTTTCTAAAACAAGATTAAAAAAAAAAGTAAAGTCACAAAGGACAAGACAAATCTGACTCCAATAAAACGTCAACTATGTGATATAGAACATGATACTAATCGAGGTAAACATTCCTCCTAATTACCACCCCCTTGCGATAATGTATTTTCTTTAAGGTCATATGTTGGGAAACACACACATTTCCACAGCAAATACCTCCAGGGAGAGTATAAGGATTGTGAAGCATGATCAGAGGTGAATTCTGCCTTTTCTGTTATGTTTTTATATGTTTTAATTATAAATGATTATGTCCTTATACCACTATATGTTAACTATCTAGGAATTAAAATTTAAAACTTAATAAAAAATTATCATGTCCTTTGTGCAATTAAAAATTCATTGACCTTCAAATAAATATATGAGACGCAAGCCTTCAAAGATCTCCTCTTTGTGGAAGACTGCTTTATCTAACACCTAGCAGGAGATACACGCTCAGTAGTAGTTTGAGATGCACAATACAGCATGAATTCTTAGCACCAGTCAAAATAGTTTACTTGGTCCTTGTATATGCTCTCTTCCCGCATCTCCAAATTCACTCACTTACCCTCTCCACTGAATGATGGAGTTCCTCCATTTCTCAAGACCCATCTGGAAGTCACCTCTTCCAGGAAGCTTTCCATGACTGCACCAATCCTCACTGTTCTCTCCCCCCGACCCCATTGACCTCTTATGGCACCCTTCTGTACTTCTCTCTAGGCACTCAGGACAGACTCCTGGGATTCCTACTCGTCTCCCTAAGGCAGGCACATCTCCCAACCAGCCATCAAACCAGAGCAGCATCTCTACGTCCTTGGTGCCTGGCCCAGAGATGGCATGGAGAACTGGATAAAGAATGTACTTAGAGTCAGACATAGCCACTATGTGACACTAGGTGACTGCCTTAACCTTCTTGGGTCCATTTTCACCTGTGTTCTTGTGATTACCAGTAAGATGATGACAGTAAAGGGGCCCAGAACAGGAAAGAGGTGGTTGACAGAATGATTTATTAGTCTTAATATTCCTTCACATTTGTACAGTGTTTCACAATTAAAAACAAAAAACTTTAGGATGCCTGGGTGGCTCAGTCGTTAAGCATCTGCCTTCAGCTCAGGTCATGATCCAGGGTCCTGGGATCAAGCCCCGCATCGGGCGCCCTGTTCAGCGGGATGCCTGCTTCTCCCTCCCCGCCCTCACCCCGTGTTCTCTCTCTCACTGTCTCTCTCTCTGTCAAATACATAAATAAAAATCTTAAAAACAAACAAAACTTTAACAACCTAGAGAGGAAAGCAAGGAAGGATTATTAGACCCATTTTAAGGGTAGAATAACTGAGGTTCAGAGAAGTTACATAGGGAGAACAGGCATTTGGACTTTGGAAGGAAACAGAATAGGACCAGGGATTAGAATATTTGGGTGGCAATGCCAATTCTTCTATTACCCAGAGGAAGGAGCTCAGACAAGTCTCTTGTTCTTTCTGGACATCAGTTTCCCAACTTATATGAGAATTCCTAGGTGACCTCTATCTTAAATGGCGGCTCAATGCTGACATTCTAGTTCAGTGGCCTGCCAAAGGTCCTTCCTAGAGGACCTAAAGAGTCCTGCAAGTCCCAGGACAGTGTCTCTAGTTACTCCGAGGAAGCCATAGGGGACTGGAAGGCGTGCTTTAAGAACCTGTTGCATTTTAATTCAGCCAAATAGCCTAAAGCCAGGCGGTGGGTTAGACATGCCCAGAATGGGAGTACGGTGGAGCGGGGGCGGGGGGGGGGAGGGGGGTAGAGCTGGGGGGAAGGGGAGTGGGCGGATGCCAGCATCAAACTGCATGTAAATATAAACATGAATGCAAAATCAAACAGGAAACCTCAGGAAAGTCCAATCCAAAGGTCAGATGCTAACTTTTCGGACACTCAAACACTGAAGAGGGAAGCTATGTTTGGGTGCCACAGGCTTTCTGCTGTGAAAACAAACCGTCACACGGACCGAACCAAAGTCCTAAAGGCAAACGAGGCTGGATTTTTTGTCTGGCCTGAACTGGGGCAAAGCTGAGCCCTAACCAGAGTCTACGACAGCCTCCAGACCCGTTCCAAGGGGCGCGCCCCCCATACTCCTTCCCACCCGCGCTCATTCCCCAGCACACACAAGTACTAACACACACCAACCCAGGCAAGGCCAGATGCACAGGATAAATGGGCATTTCTGTTCCTGGAGAAAGGTTCATAGTACAGTCCCTTCTCCGGCTCCTGATCTGATTTAACATTTTAATGAACAACCCAGAGAGGAGGGTGAACTGTGAAAGACCTAACGATGCCAGTGGCACTGAACTCTTCCAGGTCAAGGAATGTGAAGCCATGAAGACGAACCTCTGGCAGCACTCTCCCATCAGGACCACAGTTGCCCTGTGAACCTCCCAGAAACACAGAATCCACATTCATAGTACAGGGACTTCAAGTTACTGGTTCTGCCTGAGGAAAGAAGCCAAAAGGTCATTGGCTGCTTTTTTTTTTTTAAGATTTTATTTATTTATTTGACAGACAGAGATCACAAGTAGCCAGAGGTAGGCACAGAGGGAGAGAGGAGGAAGCAGGCTCCCCGCTGAGCAGAGAGCCCCATGCGGGGCTCGATCCCAGGACCCTGAGATCATGACCTGTGCTGAAGGCAGAGGCTTTAACCCACTAAGCCATCCAGGTTCCCCGGCTGCTTCTTATTTTAATGAAAGCCTGTAACCCTACTATGTGCAACGCACTAGGCTAGGCTCTGTGAGAGAAATGAGGACAAAAGAGACCCCGTCACCGTCTAAAAAGGTCCATCAATTAACCTGATAATCATTCCATTTATAAAGATGCATGCTTTATTCACACTGACTCATATAATACCATAGCCCTGTGAGGTAAACATTATTATCCCATTTTATAGATCCCAAATGTGAGGCTCAAACAGTTCAGGTCATACACCCAAACTCACACAGCTGGCAAACTGCAGGGCCAGAATTTGAACACAGTTCTGCCTCTCGCAAAGTCAATGGTCTTCCCACACTCCTCAAACACCCCTACAGAGAGATCCACAGACTCTGGGATGGGGGTTCAGCCTGCCAGGGAGAGGGGAAGAAGGAGATACTCCTCAAGACACTGGCCCAGGGTATTCTCAACTATTGAGCTTTTTATTTGCCACAGTGGCGCTCAAGACTCTGAAGGCTGGAGATGAGAGCTCCTGCTAAAGTAAAAAATGCCACCCAATTCGGGACATCCTCTGAAAGGGAGGTGCACAACCCCATTATCCTCCCTTGACCCAAAGCCGCAGGGTGTCTGCCCTAGAACAGTCCGGGCAGAGGAGCCCCCCTACCCACCCCCACCCAAGCGTGCAGCAGGTCCGTTGGGGTGGGGGCTAGGAATGAACTCCAGTGCAGACGGGAATGGGGTGGGGCAGCCTGCAAGGGCGAAAGAAAAGGCCTGGGACGCGTTGCTGGAAAAGACAAAGAGAAAAGGGGAGGGGAGGGGAGACTACAAACTTGCCAACAGCCTGGCCAAGGTGAACCCCGGCTCCTGGCGCCTTCTCATTCGCATTCATTCCACAAGCGCCGGCCAAATCTCAGAACCCGCAGCCAGGGGGAGGGGGCCTCCCTGAAGCTGCGGAGAAGTTAAGTTCAGACTGAGGCGGGAAGGCCTGTTTTCCAGGAGGGGAGTGACTTGGGGAGCAAACTCGTGGGGCTCCGAAGACGAAAACCCAAACAGACGCAGTGAGGCTTTGAACAAACATGCATGCGAAGGGGCAGGTCAACACGAGCACTGGGGTTATGACCCCGACCTGTGAAGCCTGTCATCGAGATGACCTCAAGCCCCCCCCACCCCCCCGCCGCACAAAAAGTCCCTCGGGCCCCCCTCCGGACTCGACAGTGAGGTCGCTGATGTTTGAGATGCACTCGGTTCTCACAGATCTAGAGAGGGGTCAGGTTTCTGGGGCGCGGTAAGCGCCATCACGGTCACGCCCGTGAAGGTCAAAGCGAGACCCTGCCGGGACCCCCGACCCCTCCCGCCTCGGCCCCCTCACCTCCTCCCGCGCCAGTGCCGCCCCCCGGCACCGGGGCATCTTGGCGGCAAAGGCAGCGGCCCCGGCCGGGGAGCTGAGGTCCTCCGCGGTGACGGCCAGGAACTCGGCGACGCTGAGCTGCTCGGGCATGGCGGGCGCGGGGCGGGGGCGCCGGGACTGCCGGAGCGGGGCGCGGGGGGCGCTCGCTGCACGGAACTAGGCTGGCTTCACAGCCCACCGCGAGCGCCGTCCGGACCTCCGCACGCCCCGCCCCCTCCGCGCCGCCCCGCCCTCGACTGCCCTCGCCCGGCCCAGCCGCGTTCCCTCGCGTCCCGGGAGCCTAGAGCTTCCCCACCCCTCCCGCCTTTAGGCCCCGCCCCCGCCCCCGGCCTTCCAGCCTTCCCCCGCCCACCCCCCCTTAGCCTGGACAGCCCGGCCCAGACCCCTCGCCAAGCTCCCCAGCCCCAACCCCAGGCCTCCCAGCCTGAGAGCTCCGCCCCTGACTGACTGCCCCGCCCCTGGCCCCCTATCGGGCTCCTCCGCCGGTCCACCAAGCCTCCGAACCCGGGAGCTCCGCCCCTCACCGGGCTCCTCGGCCCCGCCCCCAGGCCGCCCATCCCCTCAGAGCTCCGCCCCTGACTCACTGTCCCGCCACCGGGACTCGGGGCTCCGGAGCTCGAGACCTCACCGGGCTCCTCCGCTCCGCCCCCAGGCCTCCCAGGCCCTGAGAGCTCTGCCCCGGACTCCCTGCCCCGCCCCCGCCCCCTCGACGGGCTCCCCTCGCCGGGCTCCCCTGCAGGGTTCCCAGCCCGCCCAGCCCCAGAGAGCTCCGTCCCGACTGCGCCGCCCCCGCCTGCCTGCGAGCTTCTCTGCCACTTCTCCCTCTCGGCCCCTCCACGGCCACCCCCCCTTTCGTCCCTCTCCTGGGCCTCCCAAGTTTGCTACCCTCCCGCTGCGCGGGCGCCCCACCTCCGCGTCCCTCCTGCCTGCGCCCTGTGTCTTCTCTTACGGATTCGTTCCTAGCCCTCGTGACTTCGCCCCTTCGGCCTCATCCCGACTCCGGCCCCCATCTCTCCACCAAGCCCACCTGGTCTGGGCCCCGCTCTCAGCTCCCAACTGCACCACTCCCTTGCGCCTCACGCCCAGCTCTTGGCCTCCGCTCTGCGCTCCCCCGGAGCCGCCCACCCGCCCCTTGGTTCGGCCGCCCATGGGTCTGTGTGGCTCGGTGCCCTTGGGTAGCTGTGTGATCTGGAGGCGGGTACATTCCTTCTTGGAACCTTAGTTTCCTTCTCTGCGAAGTGAGAAGTCTGATGCCCACTAAACTGTGAAGTTGCGAGGAAAGAACCTAACACGTGCGCGTAACGAATAAGCTCTAAGCAACCCGTTCGCCCTTTGCGGACCCTCTCACCGCGCTCTCATTCTTCCTGGGCTCAGTATAGTGCCTTTCACTCCTCAACCCTGCTCACGGCACTGTCCGTACTGGGCTGAAGACTGCCACTCTTGCCCACTGTTAACCCTTACCTCTTGGAAACCACCTACTTCCTTGGGCGGATGAGGAATGGGGTTCAGGATAGAAATCCACTTAGGTTTTGTTCTGGAGCCTGAAGTCCTATGGAAAGGATTTATTCAGGTTAAAAAAATTAATTAATTAATTAATTAATTAATTTAAAAAATTAATCAGGGAAGACCTGCGATGAAGAATATTGGCTTTGGAATTTCATAGATCTGAGTTCCAATCGTGATTGCTGCTGTTGACCGGCTGTGTGCGGCTAAGCAAATTGCTTGCTTCTCTAAACTTGAAGTTTTCTTTTTCTTTCTCTCCCTCACTCTTTCTCTCTCTCTCTTTTTTTTTTTTTTTTTTTTTTGAGTGGGAGAGAAAATCTTAAGCACATTCCAAGCCCAGTGGGGAACCGGACGGGGCTGATCACACAACCCTGACTGAAACAAAATCATAACTAAGCCACCCAGGCTCCACCAAACCTAAATTTTCTACTCTTAAAGTAGCCTAGTAATATTTTACTCCATAAGGTGATTGAGACTATTACATACTTTACATAGGGGGAAAAAAAAAACACTAAAAAAATATACACTAAGATATCACTGGCTGAGGACATTATGAGTCATTTTTTTTTCTTTTGGCAACTCTGTACCTCCTAACTTCTCTGCAAGGAGCATATACTACTTGTGTAATAGAATTAAATGTTGAAAAACTGTGTACAGTCTGCGGGAGGAGACAGGACAAATATGCTGTGAAATACAACTCAGTCACCCTTCAACTCACTCCGGTCTGTTTTCAGCAGGAATCCCTCCAGAGTTATTTCAAGGTCAATGAGGATCTCTCTCTTAAAATGCAACCGGCACTTTTCTTGCTTGACCTCTAAGAATATTTTGCACTGTTAATATTTTGCACTCCCTCCTTCTTGAAACACTCTTTCCTTTGAATTTTGAGAGAATTATCTTCCTTGGTGGTTTTCCTCCCTCCCTGGCTGCTCCGCAGGGCCCTTTCTCAGATGTCCTTTCTCTGCATGTATCTTAAATGCTGGAATCATTGGGAGCTCCCTTCTAGACCTTTTGCTCTTCTCACTCAGCCCAGGCTTTCTGGACACTTTCATCCATCTCCACCAGCTTCCTTCACACCATTAATGTGGATATTTGCTGTGTTAGTTTCCTATCGGGACTGTAACAAATTATTGCAAACTTGGTGGCTGCAAACAACACACATTTATTCTCTTGCAGTTCTGGAGGTCAGAAGTCTGAAATGAGTTTTGTCGCATGAAAGTCAAAGCACCAGCAAGACTGCACTCCTTCTGAAGGTACTTGGTGGGCATCCATTTCCTTACCTTTCCCGGCTTCTAGAATTGCATTTCTCACATTCTTTGGCTTATAGTCAACTTCCTCCATCTTCAAGGGCATCTTGTCTCTGTGTCATATCATATTGCTTTCATTTCTGCGGTCAAATCTCCCTCCGTCTCCATTTTATAAGCACATTTGTGATTACATTTAGGATCCACCCAGATAATCCACGATAATTTCCTTATCTCAGGATCCTTACATTAATCACAACTGCAACATTCCTTTTGGTATATGAGATAATATTTATAGGTTCCAGGGATTAGGACCTGCATGTCTTTGGGGGCCATTACTGAGCCTACCACATCTTCCAAGGCTCTAGCTCCAGCTCTGACCCTTTTCTGGCTTAAGATCTATGTATCGGGGCGCCTAGGTGGCTCAGTGAGTTAAAGCCTCTGCCTTCAGCTCAGGTCATGATCCCAGGGTTCTGGGATCGAGCCCTGCATCTGGCTCTCTGCTCAGCAGGAAGCCTCCTTCCTCCTCTCTCTCTGCCTGCCTCTCTGCTTACTAAAGATCCAGTGGCCCATGGGATGGTACGTATCTTACATGCATATCTCACAGACAGACCTCTCAAACTCTACATTATCTAAAACTGAACTCACCATCTTGTACCCTGCCCCTGGCCCTGGCTCCTTCTCTGTCCCTGTCTTGGTGAAAGGTATCACCTTGTACCACCTCAGGGTAATCCTCTCCATCTCTTTCCACCAGCTTCCACTCGGTCAAGTCTTATCACTGTCTCCTAATGTCTCACCAATATGGCCACCTTCTCCTTCTCCAGACCAACCCCAGTCCAGGCCAAGCTACCTTTCACCTCCTCACAGGTCTCCCTGCCCCCAGTCTTGCATGTCTGATCTGATACTGCCCTGCTTAGAGCTCTCTAATGGTCCGCATTGCTCTCTGGGTGAAAGATGAACTTTTTTTCATGGCTAGCTGGTCCTGCACAATCTTGTCGCTCCTGCCATTTACAGCCTTATCTCTCACCCCACCCCTCTATCCCTGACATCATCTGAGACCTCTCACTATACCGCCTACTGCCTGTAATACTCACCGACCTCTTTTCAGCTGCCCAAATTCAATGTCATTTGCTTCAGGAAGCCTTCCCCAACGTCCTTTTGGAGATACCCACAGGACCTGCTATGCCCTGCTATAACACCTCTTACTGTGCACTGTAATCAATTGCTTGCCGATCTGGGTCTCTGGCCCACGTGTTTATTTACTGAGCACTTACTATGTACCAGTCACAATGCCAAGGGCTATACAAGCAATAATTTGCTCAGTACCCCCAACAACCCAGGGAGGCAGGTAACATTATTCTTGCCATCTCTGTGTGGTAGGTGGGAAAACTAAAGCTTAGAGAGGTTAATTAGTATAAAATCAGAATGAACAAGCAATAGAACCCAGATTCCAGCCCAGGTCTGCATGACTCAGAAGCCTGTTTTTGTTTTGTTTTATCACCAAGCTATGCTACCTAACTTGAAAATGTTGCCTCTTGCAAATTGAGTAGATATAAATGTTCCATGTGTTCTCTCCTATAATTAAAACATACCACCCACTAGAGGCAGAATACTGTCATCATATCTTACAGGCTAACAAATTCCTTACTAGCTTACAAAGCAACTACTTCAAGGTCAAATCCTTTATCAAATGCTCAGACTGAGAGACACATGTTACTCTTGTGGCCCATTTCTGAAGCTTAAGTTTTATTTCAAGATCTTTGGAAGAAGGGGCGCCTGGGTGGCTCAGTCGTTAAAGGGTCTGTCTTCCGCTCAGGTCATGATCCCAGGGTTCTGGGATCCCACATCTGGCTCCCTGCCCTGCAGGAAGCCTGTTTCTCCCTCTCTCACTCCCCCTGCTTGTGTTCCCTCTCTGACTGTGTCTCTCTCTGTCTAAATAAATAAATAAATAAATAAGGGGGAAATTAAATAACAAATGGTAAGTAAATTACAGTATTTTGGGGAAAATAAGATAAACCTGGGACCCTATCAGCATAAGTTATGAAATTTGGGGGAATTTTCAGAGAAAATATGTGCCTTCAAGGAAATTTCCAGTTGCTTCAAGTTATATCCCCAGACCACCCTATGAAACAACTCAACTTTACTAGGGCTATTTTAAGGGAAGAGTTTGAGACACACTACATATAAAATAGCCATTTCTAAGTCCCTGGGCCAAACTATACAAATCTGACTCCCAGAAATTTACTTATTCACTCAACAAACAGTCACCACGCAGTTCCAGGCAGATTCCTGAGCGGAAAATGAGCAGTGGGGAAGGTGTGGATACAGAGATTGGCACGATATGGGGAGGTTCTCAAGGAACTTGAACTCAAATAATCATAAGATGCAAATTGTAGATGGCCTTGAAGAGGAGCTATGGGAATGAGGGGTGAGGAAGGGGAAAAGAGAACCTTTTCAATGTGGGGCTCAGGGAAGCTGGGG